ATCAAAATTAGAAAGTAATAAGGTATACAGTTTCTTTCAATGAGGTATCGGAATGCGAAATCTGACTGTGGTGCTACCTGGTCATTACAGGCCATTAGAAACTTCGAAAGGCAGGATTCTCAATATTTCTATGTCTTAAAAGTAAAATGTTAAGAAGTACAAAAGGGATTCCCATTTAAATGTTCTTTGTTGTTCAATGCCTTTTCATAACAGCAATAACCGAGTGACCAGTAAATAGTCAAATCTGGACCAGACAAATCATTGACTGATGTCTAGAGCAACAACCAAGTCACGAGTTTATATGATGGGCAATATTCTGACCAGGATTCCCACCTGTGAACAAACACATGTTACATCCACAGTTTGGTTCAGTATTGAGAACTCATTTTTCAATATTTATTTAGTCTTCAGGAGAATGATGTTTTGCGAAATAACTAATGACAAATAACCAAATGTCTAATAGTGTTGTCAGAATATGCAAGGTTTAATGGATTTAGAGTAATACCAACTTTGAGGGTATACATATTACTTGTATATCAACCTGTATAAAATACAACCAATAATAACAATTATGATGATGATGATGATGATGATGATAATGAAACTGTGTTGCAACAGTTGAAAGACGACCAACCAACAATTCTTAAATCCATCCTACAGTTGACAAACTGGCGACAATTTAAACAAACTGTAATTAGTATTAACTGCGATATCAGGAAGCAAATACAAACGACCTTGACCCTTGACAAAAATTGGATTAAACACAGAACCTGACAAAAGCAAATCAAAATTCTCAGGTAAAATATTATTATTCTTATTCCAATTCTGATCTTGACATCTCCAGCTGCTAAGGCAGCACCATACTACACCACAGTAACAGATTATCCTACATATAAAGATTAATCCTGGAGTGAATGACAACCCAAGAGACCAATGGCACTGGAAAGGTGTACAAAGAAGTGAATATATAACTGTTTCATAGCAGGAACTCCCACTTAACTATGGCCTTACATCAATACTCAGCACAGCTGAAACTGTCAGGAACTCAACGCATAAGGACTTAAGCTGACAATGCTGTACTTGGTGTTTGCAGTCATGTTTTGTGATGGCGTGAGACATCCAGTGACCTTGACCTCCACAATGAGCCAATCACATGCCTGGATAGTTACATAAAGGAGGAGTTTGTGTGAGGAATACTGTTTGAGTGAGTTTAGTTTTACGCCGCTTATAGCAATATTCCAGCAATATCACGGCGGGGGACTCCAGAAATGACCTCACACATTGTACCCATGTGAGGTATCGAACCCGGGTTGTCAGCGTGACGAGTCAACGCTTTAACCACTGGGCTACCCCACCTCCCTAAAACACTGCAGTGTCACGCCAGTACAAAGACATTATACTGCTATCCATTCCTCTTTATCGACTAAGCTCTAGCGCTTGTGACAATACTGTAATCAACTTAATCAGACTCAAGATGCTTACACAGGCCTGGTACCAAACAAATATATAATTCAACAGTGCACAGACTTCAGAGATACTTAAAAAAAATATATTAAAATATGGGCTGATCCTTAGAAAATGAAAAAAAAAAGGGAAAACATTCTCACTTTTTATTCCAATTGTACACTTACATATATGCCACAAACACACTGTGTATGAAATATATTGAACAATATGACTGAATATACAAGCTTTATACACAAATAATTGGAAGAAAAACTGTGCAGAAAAACTGTGCAGAAAACCTTGCAGTAGTTGAAACAATGCTAACTTGAGGGCGTTTGTACATGTCATCAGACAAAAAATCATGTTTATATCCTTTTCGTCTTGGGATGTATGCATGTAGCACTTGTATTGATACATGATTTGATATGAAACTTGTTATGTAGGTAATGAGGGTAATATACAAAAATCAAGTACTGGTCATAATTACCTAATTACCTTTGTTGAGGGGGTGAATGGTGCCAAACCGACACGAATGATTACCTTAGTCTTACAGATCCATTAAACAAAATTACAAAACAAGTCCAACAACTCTACTGACTGACTGACTGAGTTTGGTTTTTCGCCGCTTTTAGCAATATTCCAGCAACATCACGGCGGGGACACCAGAAATGGGCTTCACACATTGTACCCATGTGGGCATTCGAACCCGGGTCTTCGGCGTGACGAGCCAACGCTTTAACCATTAGGCTACCCCACCGCCCCTCCAACAACTCTAAACAGCTTTGGGATGATTATTTATTTATTTATTCATTTTATTTATTCATTTATTTGTTTGTTTGTTTATTTATAAATTTATTTATTTTTTTATTTATTTATTTATTCATATAAAATATCAGTCTATGACAGAATATGCTTTCAGTTAGTCCTTCAAACCATATACTCTTTCTCTCTGGTAATGCAGTGGACCTAAAAAGATTTCTCTAGATCCCAACACATATTTTCCCTGAAAATCCAGTGAATGGTTTTTGCATGTGTAAAATATGAGCAAATTATCTGTTTCTACTTTTTCCAGCATTTCTGAGTAACTTGATTTTATAACATCAAAATGGTAAGCCAATTACAAGATCCATTCAAGCGTAAAACAAACAGCAAATGAAGGCAAAAAATGAATTGTTAATCCTTCAGAAACACCAAACTCACTTGCTGTTCAGGGGGTGCAATGTGATCAACACATCACAGTGACTATTCACAATGGCTGCTTAAATAACTAATTAGCACTGACAATCACTAAAACACACAGGTGCAAACATCAGAGAGTTAGTTCAGTCAACCTTCTTACCCTCACAGAAAATATAAATAATACCCCAATTGTAATGGGGATATTTTACATGACACATGACACACAAAACAGATCATAAAAAAGACCTCTAAAATTGTCTTTCTATAAAATATTTTAGCCTTAACTTTATGTGTAGTTTCAATACATATCCTTAACGTGCATTTTATTAACCAGACATCAAGTAAAAAATATCATTAATATGAACATATCTGATAAGTGTACACTAAGTTTTACACGCCTTCCTCACTTCTGAAATGATGCGATCTTGTGGATCAAAGGTGGCTGTTTATCGTACCAAGACCTCGGAGGCAAAGTTAGAAGCAAGGACAGAGAACACTGTATTGTAGTGCAACCAGCAAGGCAGTTATGAGGCAAAGTTAGAAGCAAGGACAGAGAACACTGTATTGTAGTGCAACCAGCAAGGCAGTTATGAGGCAAAGAACTTAAGATGGTGTGATTACAGGAATAAAATTAAAAAATTACACAATTCTGGGAATTAATGCCCAGTAAGCATCATACAAAGAATTGCTATGGATTTCTATGCGTTTCATTATCAATACTCCACACACATAGTAAAACCTATGGACTGTTCTTTAACTCTGAAGGTTCAGAGTTAAGCTTGGTCAAAAGCAACGTATTTACCCATGCAAGATAAAATAAATCTTGACTGAAAACAACATCCGTGTACAGTGAAATCCTGCTAACCCAGACACGACCATCCTCAATGCAATCAGATATAGCTGTATACTTCCCAGGGAGCTGAGAAAGAAAATCATGTTCATACTGATCCATTGACTGGAATAATAGTATCTATCATAATCAAGACACATTCAAGTAGTTATGTCTGCTATTCAGTATATATAATATAATGTGAATTTTTCTACTGTAATTCCTCTATATGTATATTTGTCAGATTACACACAAAAAAGTCAGTTTTAAAAAACCCCAACATATTCTCCCTTTATTCCAGACTGATGAAATATCTGTGATCAAACATTTAGGAACAAAATAAACATAATAGCCTAATCATTTGAAAAGTGGTAAATTTTGAGTAGACAGAAGTGCATACTGACTCCAACTTAGGTCTGAAAATTTATGGCCCTGACTTGTGTTACTAAAAATAGGATGGGAATTACCCGGAACTGGTTTTCCCCAAATATAAGTCCAATCAGATGTCTCCATTTGTTGGAACCTGCAAACATGATTGTAACAAACATAGTCTGATATGTTCAATCTGCCTTTTTTTCTTCACTATATAATAAAACAATTCCAGACATATCTCAGCTCAAAACCTGTTTGTCTGGCCCCCTAAACTCATATAGTCTGTAATTGCACATAACAGTAGAATATAGAGAGATATAGGATATACATGAGATATATACAGGTCTGCTCCAGCAGAATTTCACTGTACTTACACCATCTTCACAGATCCTGGGCTATGACATATGAGAAAATGACATATTCTCATAGCTATGAATAAAACAAAAACAAATATTCATCAAAAGGATTTGAATCTTACACATGCTGTTCATTAGATAAACAAAGCCAATGACTGACACCGATGAAGATTAAAGTTGCCATGGCGACCATGAGCCATCACATTGTCCTCATCCTGATTCACTTCCGTATGTTCTACCACTTCAGGACTTTCTGATTTTATTACAGCTGGCTTTCACTATAGATCATAAATAATTGTTAATGGGCCAGTGATCACAATTTGCTGTACAGAATAGCGTCCCCTGGCTGTGCCAGGATCTGGTATTTGGGCTGATTCATGAGGCAATTGGTATAAATGGTAGTGTGTCACTTGGCTTTCTTCAACACGAAGATGGCTTCTTCTACAAGAAGCCGACACTCCATGTACAGAGCGTTGTTACACTCAACGGTCTCAATCACCAAGCAGCTGTCGTGTCTTCTGCAGTCTAAATCATCCAGTTCATCTACATCTAAGCAAATCTGTAATCAAGCTCTGTCACCTGAACAAGAAATCATTTCAAATCAAGATGAACCTACTCCAGGTACGAAATAAAACATGCAATCACTGAATTCCTTAATACTGACAATAGCTGCATAAAAAACAGTTCTCAAAATTAAGGGGGATCCTACATTCTCTGAGGTCTGCAGTCATACTATTGGAATCTGAAGTCCTTAGTTTGAAAACAGTCAGCCCATTGCCCAATCCAGGGAGATATTACTTAGGGCATGTAGTTTCAAATTTATATGGATCCGTACAGTCTGCAGTAAATTCACATGTTGCTATATATGTTGCAAAGAGCTGCAGTTCTTTAAATAAATTTTGGTTCGTTGTTCATTTAGGATCTGGAGATATTTACAGGCACCACAAATCGTGGAAACAGATAAAAAAATGGATGAAAGATGGACTTGAAAAACATAAATTTGTCACTATACTTTGTTTCACAATATTTGTGACTATTTGTCACCTCGTCACAATAGGTTTCATTCAACTTAGACGCAAATATTGAGTCTAAAGATATTAGACAGACCCTGCAGTTTGTAAAATCTTAGGGTCCGGATGACAGCAAGGCAGTTATATATATTTCAAACCCTGCTAGTCCCCTCAAATTGTTTTACATTGAATTTTTAAATTATGACCACAAAAGCCTCTAAATCAAATTCATATAAAATCTTTGATTAAGACATCATTGGCCTGTCATTAGGATATTAGATCTTAGTGATTCTGATGTGTCAATTCTTGTCATCTTCATAAACAAACAAAAATAACAAATACAATAAAATAAAGAACAACCCCAAAACACATCAAGTGCTTATCCTGGATTAGGACCATACTGTCCATGAACCTCCATCCTCGATACAGAGGCTGAACCTGAAAAGAAGCACAGCATCCCAGTCAACACCCAAATAAGTTTGAAGACACAGGATAATATGGGAATCTGGCTCACGTTGCAGGGATAATTTGAGCTTTAATGATAAGTGTATCATTCCTAACAAAGTCTGCATTATCCAGCACGCTTAAGGCTACAAATTCCATATATCCAAATCCTTTGTGATTCCTTGGCGTGACGGGTTTTTGAAAAGCTGCCAAATTGGGTTTGGCAATAAGAGTCTCAGCGATATGATTTCTGAGCTCACATATGGGGTTCTGATCAATCACTGACAGAACAATCCGGCCTGAAAATGGCCAGTCGAGAATCTCATCCCAATCTCCTTGCATGAAATGTATGAAGATTGAAAGATGACTTCCTTTGGCTGCATCCACACCATTCAGATTAGCTCTAATACACAACTTGTAACCATAGCAGTTGGAATAGAAAGAAGGACTGTGCAGAGCGGTGTTGATGCCCTGTTCTGCTTCCTCCCTGAGTTTGTGGTAATTCTTGATCTTCCAGTAGAACTGTCCATTGCATGCCCGGCCTTCGAACTCCTGCACAGCATTGTCAAGGTAACGTAGTTTGTACTTCAGTTCCTTGTTTGCTTTCTCCAACATCTCATTCTTCGCTTTGATTTCAACCAGCTGTTGGTCATGACGGGCCAGACTTTCGTCCTGGTACATGTTCTGGTTTTTGAGACTCTGGAGCTCTAGTCCCGAAGCCCCTTGCAAGGACAGAGCACCGTGCACACCCTCAGCATCAGAGGGTTTTGAGGTATGGCTCACATGAGCACCTTCCACAGTCTCGTTGGAAGCTTGCGGCAGCGTATCGGACATACTTCGATGAAGCTGACGAGGATCAATGCTGGTTTTCAAGGAATCCAAGTTGAACTGTTTAACCGACTGTCCATCTGGTGTCCGTGAGCCGGAGATGTTCGGGACATGACTGTGATCCTGCATGGTGAGGCCTTGGAACTGATTGATGTAACTGCCCATGGCCGACAGAGAAGTGGACATCTCCATCGGGGTGAGTCCGCCTGATAACGCTGGGACTGAGGCTGGGGAGAGGCTCTGGATGCCAAACTTATGGAGGATGGTGACCACACCGTGACAGAGCATGCGTTGATGGTCGACTGTGGCATCCACGTAGTGTTCCTGTTCCATCTTCCGGTCAAACTGAGGAAACGAATGACCATTAACTATTTTTATTCAGTGGATAAGTACATCACATGCTCTCAGACATATTTCTTTCAGATTTCAGAAAAAAAAAAAATCTTGCAAATTTCCAAAAAATTGCGAAAAATTCTCAATAATATGTGAGCATCTGAAGCCAAGATCATTTCGAAGTGTTAGGTGGATGTTAAAAAGATCTCAATTTCTGTGTCTTGAAATACCCAGATCAGTAACAATAACAATCTGAACACACGCTGAAATTATGAAAACATTAGTTGTCAGAATTTATTAGCACTCCTAAAGATATTCTTCATAGGAAACCAACCAGAAAACATTTATAGTCACATATGGGGAAAGGGGCAGATATTCTTGAACAGTTTGATACTACTATTCAAAGGCTCACCTGAGCAGAACATCCAAGAGGTCCGAAGTCACAGGATATTGGATAAGTAGGACAGTCCTTATCATGATGTCCGCTGAGCTGAAAAGCAGACCATGTTATTCAAGGATGTTCACTATCAACCATGCCATCGGGGTTTGTAAACTTTAGACAAGGTGCCACTAAACTCTGAGCGGCATAACACACTGAGGCTACATCCTTGAACTTGATCATTTCTGATTGGCAGCCAGAACACAACACAAGGATCTACAGGATGTCCTGAAGCGGTGCTTGTATGTGCATGTGGTGGCAAGGAGAGTTGTATGTGTATGTGGTGGTGTGGAGAGTAGTATGTGTATGTGGTGGTGTGGAGAGTAGTATGTGTATGTGGTGGTGTGGAGAGTAGTATGTGTATGTGGTGGTGTGGAGAGTAGTATGTGTATGTGGTGGTGTGGAGAGTAGTATGTGTATGTGGTGGTGTGGAGAGTAGTATGTGTATGTGGTGGTGTGTGGAGAGTAGTATGTGTATGTGGTGGTGTGGAGAGTAGTATGTGTATGTGGTGGTGTGGAGAGTAGTATGTGTATGTGGTGGTGTGGAGAGTAGTAATGTATGTGGAGGTGTGGAAAGTAGTATGTGTATGTGTATGTGGTGGCAAGGAGAGTAGTATATGTATGTGGTGGTGTGGAGAGTAGTATTTGTATGTGGTGGCGAGGAGAGTAGTATGTGTATGTGGTGGTGTGGAGAGTAGTATGTGTATGTGGTGGTGTGGAGAGTAGTAGGTGTATGTGGTGGTGTGGAGAGTAGTAATGTATGTGGAGGTGTGGAAAGTAGTATGTGTATGTGTATGTGGTGGCGAGGAGAGTAGTATGTGTATGTGGTGGTGTGGAGAGTAGTATGTGTATGTGTATGTGGTGGCGAGGAGAGTAGTATGTGTATGTGGTGGTGTGGAGAGTAGTATGTGTATGTGGTGGTGTGGAGAGTAGTATGTGTATGTGGTGGTGTGGAGAGTGGTGTTGTGGTGGTGTGGAGAGTAATGTGTATGTGGTGGTGTGGAGAGTAGTATGTGTATGTGGTGGTGTGGAGAGTAGTATGTGTATGTGGTGGTGTGGAGAGTAGTACGTGTATGTGGTGGTGTGGCAAATAGTACCTATATGTGGCGGTATGGCAAGTAGAATGTGTACAAAGTTGTGAGGCAAGTAGCAAGTGCATTTGGTGGTGTGACAAGTAGTATGTTTGTGTGGTTGTATGGTAAATAGTATTTGCATACAGTGATGTCACAAGTAGTATATATATGTGGTTGCACAGCAAGTAGCTTGCATGAGCAGTTGTATGGCATTCAGTATGTATATATGGCTCTGTGACAAGTGGTATTATAAACCCTGTGTGTAGTAGTGTAACCTGTAGTGTTTTCTTGTGGTAATGTGGCTAGTATCAGTATGTGAGGGTGTGACAAGTAATACCGAGTATAAACCCTGTATGTGATAGCATCAGAGGTTTATTACCCAAGAAAGAAATAGAATATGAAGTATTACATGTATGCGCATAATATACGCATTAATTATTTTGCTTACACTATAATTAAATAAATGCAATTTTTAAGCTGCATGAAACCACCTGCACATCAGATTCTGTCAGCCAATCAAAACAATCCATTACAAAATTTTATAAATGAAAGCATCCGAGTGTAATTATGATCACAAGCAAGAACAAATGCAAACAAATTGAGCATTTTTAACAGGCTGATGTATATTTCCTTCTTAAAGGCACAATGTCACACATTTTCGACAATATTTTGGCCTATATTTTATATATTGGGGGCATATGCACTCACTTTTGCTTCCTATGCAATAAAAAGACTTATTAGCCTTTACGACTTGCCTGAAAACGATAATTGAACTTCGAGCCGAACAGCTTCCAAACAGATAACACTTGACATATATGGAATGTAAACGATTGCTCCATACATCGAAAAGTGTCGCACACGGTGTTGTCGGTGTTTGCCGAACTGGTTTCAATCACAAGTTGTGCATAGGTTATTCGTAAAGAGTGCTCCAAGAGACATAACTCTGGGGTTTGCTTGAAATAATGTTTGGCTGGTAGAGGGAGTGAGAGTTGATTTAATGCAGTGTTCACGAATCCAGCAGATTCGCCAACGGTCTGAAAGAAGTCTACAACCCGCCGGCCCCCAGTGTCTGACTGTATATTTCACAATGACTTTGACTGAAGTTGTTATATGTGGCATGTAACACTTGTTTCCTGTTTATAAATCTTATGTTTGTTAATAATTTCAATGCCAATTATAAGAAATGTTAAATCTGAAATGAGTGTTTAATTTTATTCTATGGGTCCTTTGAATTTTCAATGGGTCAGACAGACATCTGAAACTTACAGGACCCAATGTCCTGTTACTTTGAAACACCATTAGTGAACACTGTTAATGCAACATTGCATTAATTCATTCAAACTTTTAAATTTAATATTGTAAGGCCCAACCAATTTCATTTCTTGTTTTACAGATCCGCCTGTCGTGTTTTTTCAAGAATAAGAAATAAAATAAAAATTAATTTTCCCCGCTCACAAAATAAAATCCTAATGTTTTTGCTGGCCAAAAATAAACTTACAAAAACAGTGTTGTTTTTTTATATTGTTTTTTGCCCCATATACACTTCATAAATTGCCAAAAGTAAAATACTTTGACTATTTAGAAGGAATATTACTTTGACTGGTGATTTTTATTTTTTTATTTTCCCTCCTGCCTTTAGGTTTTCTGAGGACAAAAATCCGTAAAACAAGAAATAAAATTGGTCTGGCCTAATCTAAATACGTAATTTTGTTTGGAATAAATTATATGGTAGCTTCCCTGAGGGCTGATAGTATTATTGAGAGAAATGCATTATGTATTTTGGGAGACGTGTGACATTGTGCCTTTAAATAGCTGATAATGATAATGTAGAAAGCAGTATGAGTACAGGATGTCATAGTCAGCAAGTAAAAGTACATAACAAAGTTTCAAAGATACATATGGAAAATGCAACCATCTTCACTTAGAGTGAGTGAATTTAGTTTTCACCGCTTTTAGTAATATTCCTGCAATATCATGCCAGGTACACCAGAAATAGGCTTCACACATTGTACCCATGAGGGGATTCGAACCTGGGTCTTCGGCATGATGAGCGAACGCTTCAACCACTAGGCTACCCCACCGCCCGTTTCACTTAAAGAATCACAACTCACTGCTTGTTTGACAAAGTCCCCTCCACAGTACTGACAGACAACCTGTACGAGCGGACACTCCGTCAGATGATGCTGTAACGAAATACCAGGGGGCGCTTAGCATATTGACTACTGAATGTTATATTTCACATTACAACAGAAAAACATTTAGTGTCAAATCGACATCATTGGTGATTGTTCAGCAATGGAGAAATTATAAAAATGTCAAACATTTCACTTTCAAATCATTTTTACTTGTTTCTGAATGAGTGAGTGACGTTTTACGCTGTTTTGGTCAATATTCCAGCAATGTCACAGCAACCAGTCGAAAATCAAGTCAGGATAAGATCAACAAACCAGTGACTGTATCAATAGGAATGTCCCACCTTGTTTTAAACTTTGTAATAAGGAAAACAAGTTTCATGTTTCTTTCAACTTCTACATTGCATTTGTTTGAGTGGCATTTTAGAAGTAAATACGTACAATATAGAACAGACTTTATGGAAAACAACTTCTTTATTTCGCGAGTGTGACGTTTCGATACAGATTCTTGTACCATTATTAAAAAGTCGAACTCACAAAATAAAGAAGTTGTTATCCATATAGTCTGTTCTATATTCTACATTGCAAACAACGATAATGCTGTTCAGATTAGGATGATTATGTTTGTTGCTTAACTCTGCACTCAGCAATATTCCAGCTATATGGTGGCGGTCTGTAAATAATCGAGTCTGGACCAAATCAAGTGATGGTCATTATGAGCATTGATCTATGGGATACGATGACATGCATCAACCAAGTCAGTAAGCCTGACCACCCAGTTCTGTAAGTCCCTCTTATGCCAATCATGGGCTGTTGAAGTCCAATTATAACCTGGATCTTCACACGTTTTTAAAAAGAGGAAAGTATGAATAATTTTTTTTCTAGATGACTCAGTGCTTGTCTTACTTACCAGCGTTTCCAAAACAAACTGTTATCTCACCTCCATTCCTTCAGCAGCGACATCCTTCTGACAATTTTGGCACTGTAGGATTCTGCGACGGCAGTTGAACTGTACATGGTTTGGGACATCTCTACGGAGGAGTATGTCCATACAACGATTGGGACATGGGACTAGGGCTAAGGGACACTGATCTGTATGTTCCTGAAATAAAATAAATAAAATAAAATAAAATTAAAAAAAATAAAATTTAAACAAATATTTTTTTTTATTTTTTTTAATAATATAGAATAAAAAAATACAATAAAAGAGGATCCAAGGAATTAACTTGACAGTACAGTGCCATTACGCATGGGGGGCGTGGTGGGCAAGCTGTGTAAAAGTGATTCAGCGAGCTTGGAGGTGCCTGGATCAAGTCCATCTGTGACCGGGTATAAAAACCTTGGAGTCAACTTTGTGTGCAGACTCTTTCAGTGTTGGCACAACCCCTAGTGTAAATGACCAGATGGTGGCCACATAAATACATGGAAACACCTAGTTGCTCATACAGCAATGTGCAGTAAAACTTGGACAAAGTACTGTGACTATGTGTCCCAGTCCACCCAGCTGTGAATGGGTACCTCGTAAGGATGGGAAATCCACAATAACTGCGGCACCTAGTGGCTGCCAGAGTTGTATGATCCCCAGGGAGTTGAGATTGAAAATATGATGTGCTGTTGAGACTGACATCCAGTGATCGAGGGGAAAAAACCCAAAGCCCTTTGAGCATGAATGCAGATGGGATGTACTATAGCGCTATATAAATACCCATATAATAACAATAATGATATGAAATTTTACTCAGTATTTCTTTAAAAAAAAGATGTACTTGAATTTTGAATATACCTGAACTTTCTTGAGAGTGGCCAGCACCTCACAGCCTTGTCTTGAATTGGGACACTTTACTTTGAAGTTAAGGATTTCACGTTTGGCAAAGTTGTCGGCGAATAATTCCCGCTCGTCGATCGGTTCATTGTCAACAGGACATCGGACATCACACTCCCTGCAAAGACAGCAGAAAATGTACAATAAGTTTCAAAACAATGAAATTTTCCTGGATGCCATAAGAAAAGATGTCACCATATACGGTCAGTGTGCTGAAAATAAAGATTACGCAGAAGATACATTGCGAGACAATCACGATCACATCCTTGTGGAGGAAGTCGAGATTCAGCCCGGATGAGGATGAGAAGCATCTCAGGGGAGAAGTCAGCTGAATTCTAAGATGTATTTGTTCGTTGTTTTATGCTACACTCAGCAATTCTCCAGCTATCTCTAAATAATTAAGTCTAGACCAGATAATCCTGTGATCAAGAGCATGAGTGTCAATCCAAGCAGTTGGGATATGATGACATGTGTCAACCAAGTCAGCGAGTCTGACCACCCGATCCTGTTAGTCGCCTCTTACGACAAGCATGGGTTACTGAAGATCAGTTCTAACCCGGATCTTCGCGGATTGAATTTTAAGAAACAATGGCAACACAAACTCTTCTCCATGAAGGAAACACAAATTAATGGCACAACCTAAAATACTCCAGTCCATGATCTCAAGTGATTTGGTAAAAATTTCCTTAGACCTGCAAATATTGACCTGTCCATGGTTTAGTATTAATTACCACTAGGGGCATAACTTCCTGGACAATTCAGGAGTTCGTGACATTATGTCATACAATGGTTGAGCTGGTTGATTATACATAAATTTCCCCTGAAATTTATACCTCAAAGTATTGCACTTTTAAACATGTTGAATGTCCAGTTATCATCTTATTCATTAAAATTATTTTTAAGCCCATATTTATCTATTATTATGTTTTTAATAATTTCATATTTTAGGCTGTTATTTATTTGTACTTTTGTCAAGCTCTGTGATCCAAAACGAATTCCTTGTAAGGTAATAAAGTATTGTCTGTCTGTCTGACTGTGAGTCGTGCTACAACCACTAGTTTTTCAACACAGTTTTAATTGCCAGATAGCCACACACACACAAAATCTGCAAAATTCAAAACATTCATTAAATATGTCCTGCCCATACATTCTGAAGGGAAGAAACCTTGACGTCAATCAGGAAAATATTACCGTATTAACAAAGGCAAAATATTTTGTTTGACTGTATATGCTAGGAAACACAAAGGAAGGCAAATTGATAGTTTTATAAAGAATAAAATATCCCCTTTTTCCATAAATCAAAATAAAATATTGATTGATATGATAGCAAAATACAATTAACATTTCTCTCATACTTACATTTTGACAGCCATGAAAATCCGCCAGATATTTTATCAACTCAATTCCTTCCGCACACATGTAAATAAATTACTACATTGTTTCCAGCGAGACTGTTACCTTGAGAATCCTATTTATAGCCTCATGCCAATATATGAGACTTTCCTGATTTTTTCCAGATTCCAAACTGATTAAAATCCCCTGACAGCAAGATGAAAAAATGAAGACACATCTAATCATTTAAAAAAGAACAGGAACATTTGAATTCAGGAAGTAGCACAGAAAGCATGGTCTCTGCAAGATATATGCATACGACCGTCTCTACTCAGTTATTCATAGCTTGCAAAAAACAGCCTCCTAATTGTGTAGATTGTTGCCTGTGATGTCAATCATTGGATTGTGTGTTCAGGCTAAAATATTTCACTGACCATCATCTTATGGCCACAATATTACACAGTGCAACATTAAAAAAGAAACTAATATTTATGACATATATACATTTCAGTGTTTAAAATGATCAGTATGTAGGGTAAACAATTATGTCTTCAGGATTGAAACAGAGGTGTTTGTATTGCATCAACAAAGGTGTCTGTATTACATCAACAAAGGTGTCTGTATTGTATCAACAAAGGTGTCTCTATTGCATCAACAAGGTGTCTGTATTGCATCAACAAAGGTGTCTATTGCATCAACAAAGGTGTCTGCATTACATCAACAAAGGTGTCTGTATTGCATCAACAAAGGTGTCTGTATTGTATCAACAAAGGTGTCTATTGCATCAACAAGGTGTCTGTATTGTATCAACAAAGGTGTCTATTGCATCAACAAAGGTGTCTGTATTGTATCAACAAAGGTGTCTGTATTGCATCAACAAGGTGTCTAATGCATCAACAAGGTGTCTGTATTGCTTCAACAAAGGTGTCTCTATTGCATCAACAAGGTGTCTCTATTGCATCAACAAGGTGTCTGCATTGCATCAACAAGGTGTCTGTATTGCATCAACAAGGTGTCTGTATTGCATCAACAAGGTGTCTGTATTGCATCAACAAGGTGTCTATTGCATCAACAAGGTGTCTGTATTGCACCAACAAAGTGTCTGTATTGTATCAACAAAGTGTCTATATTGCATCAACAAAGGTGTCTGTATTGCATCAACAAAGTGTCTGTATTGCATCAACAAAGGTGTCTATATTGCATCAACAAAGGTGTCTGTATTGCATCAACAAAGATGTCTATATTGCATCAACAAGGTGTCTGCATTGCATCAACAAGGTGTCTGCATTGCATCAACAAGGTGTCTGCATTGCATCAACAAAGTGTCTGCATTGCATCAACAAAGTGTCTGCATTGCATCAACAAGGTGTCTGTATTGCATCAACAAAGTGTCTGTATTGCATTAACAAAGGTGTCTGTATTGCATCAACAAGGTGTCTATTGCGTCAACAAGGTGTCTGTATTGTATCAACAAAAGTGTCTGTTTTGCATCAACAAGGTGTCTGTTTTGCATCAACATAGGCATCTCTATTGCATCAACAAAGGTGTCTGTATTGTAATAAGAAAGCTGTCTGCATTACATCAACATAGGTGTCTCTATTGCATCAACAAGGTGTCTGTATTGCGCATTGAATGGCCTTCTGATGAACTCTGTGGATAACCCCTGAGATATAAGTGTGACACTCTTAAATCATTATCTAGGCTGCCCCTATATCTTGGCCGTCTATATCCGTAAGCAATCACTTCCTCATTGATCTACAAGGTGAGAGCGACCAGGAAGTGTAGATGTACGGGATGCAGACAGCGGCATACAGACATGGCAACCTAGTAACCTTCTTGTGGCAGAGGAATAACACCTTTTACATCTTTGCTCAGTTTTCATTTCCATCGCAGCCAAATCCACAGATTCCTAAATATAGTTTCATCAAATATACAACGTGTACTGTATCATTTTATATGAATATTTGTCTCATAAAATCACTGCATGAGTTTGATTACAGATATTTCTGATCATTGATTAGGACAAAACATTGTTTTTCTTCCGGATAATGGATTCTTTGAACTAAACTGGCTGGATGGAGATGGGGAAAAAATGATTGATTTAAAACCCAAATCAAAAGAAAAATGCTCAATTTATATTACTTGATTTAACTTGCACCAGGTGCACGTTGAAATGAAAAGCTATTAAAGGCTGCCAGGGTAAACAACCTTGGAAACTTTGAATATTTTATACTGCATTGGGTAACAACCATACTTGCAGTGCAAACATTTTGATGGAGACAGTTGATGATATGGGAAAGATGAAGACAGGTGATGATATGGATAATGATGGAGACAGTTGATGACAGGGATAATGATGGAGACAGTTGATGACAGGGATAATGATGGAGACAGTTGATGACAGGAACAATGATGGAGACAGTTGATGATATGGGCAATGATGGAGACAGTTGATGACAGGGACAATGATAGAGACAGTTGATGACAAGGACTATGATGCAGACAGGTGAGGACTGGGACTATGATGGAGACAGTTGATGACAGGGACTATGATGGAGACAGTTGATGACAGGGACTATGATGGAGACAGTTGATGACAGGGACTATGATGGAGACAGTTGATGACAGGGACTATGATGGAGACAGTTGATGACAGGGACTATGATGGAGACAGTTGATGACAGGGACTATGATGGAGGCAGTTGATGACAGGGAGAATGATGAGGCAGGAGATGATAGGGACTATGATGGAGACAGTTGATGACAGGGACAATGATAGAGACAGTTGATGGCAGGGACTATGATGGAGACAGTTGATGACAGGGACAATGATGGAGACAGTTGATGACAGGGACTATGACGGAGACAGTTGATGACAGGGACTATGATGGAGATAGTTGATGACAGGGACTATGATGGAGACAGTTGATGACAGGGAGAATGATGAGGCAGGAGATGATAGGGAGAATGATGGAGACAGTTGATGATAGGGACTATGATGGAGACAGTTGATGACAAGGACTATGATGGAGACAGTTGATGACAGGGACTATGAGGGAGACAGTTGATGACAGGGACTATGATGGAGATAGTTGATGACAGGGACTATGATGGAGACAGTTGATGGCAGGGACTATGATGGAGACAGTTGATGACAGGGACTATGATGGAGACAGTTGATGACAGGGACTATGATGGAGACAGTTGATGACAGGGACTATGATGGAGACAGTTGATGACAGGGAGAATGATGAGGCAGGAGATGACAGGGACTATGATGGAGACAGTTGATGACAGGGACTATGATGGAGACAGTTGATGACAGGGAGAATGATGAGGCAGGAGATGACAGGGACTATGATGGAGACAGTTGATGACAGGGACAATGATGGAGACAGTTGATGACAGGGAGAATGATGAGGCAGGAGATGAAAGGGAGAATGATGGAGACAGTTGATGACAGGGACTATGATGGAGACAGTTGATGGCAGGGACTATGATGGAGACAGTTGATGACAGGGACTATGATGGAGACAGTTGATGACAGGGACTATGATGGAGACAGTTGATGACAGGGACTATGATGGAGACAGTTGATGACAGGGACTATGATGGAGACAGTTGATGACAGGGAGAATGATGAGGCAGGAGATGACAGGGACTATGATGGAGACAGTTGATGACAGGGACAATGATGGAGACAGTTGATGGCAGGGACTATGATGGAGACAGTTGATGGCAGGGACAATGATGGAGACAGTTGATGACAGGGACAATGATGCAGAC